TACGTGACAAATAAAACTTTGGACTTGGACTTTGTTTCACTGTTTCTGCTTCCTCTTTTGCTCTTGCATCTGCGTTCAGAATTTCTGTAAATGGACAATGGGGATGTTTCTGCCTCTTTTTTGCTCTTGCAATACTATTTCCATATGCGTCCTGAAGTTCTGTTAATGGACAATGGGGACCAACAGTGTGATACTGCTGGATGCGCCTGTAATTGGATGTTTGTCACCATGGTGACTCAGGCATTTCTGCTGTTAGAGAATAATGTATCAGCGCTGTCTGAAAATGATCAGATTCCCAGTGCCCTCATAACCTCTATGAATAATAAATATACTATTCTTGGATGTAAAGTACACCTGGAGATCAGCTGATCTCAAAGAATATTTTGTTTCCAAAGAAATACAGATAACTTTGGACATAGTAGAGGATAGACAACACAGTAAAAATTATACCTAACAGGAACACTGTACTGTACCTGAGCCGGTGAGTCCTGGTTTTAGCAAACTCAAAAAATACAGGCTGCCAAGCACAGTATCAATGACCCCCCACCCCTGTGGTGTCCCTGTCCTGGTTCTGTTATTGTGGGATGTGCTGTTGGTAGTGCTCCCTGTCTAAGCTGTATTTATGTCACATTAAGAGGATTACCTGGAACAGCAGTTAGAGATATTGACCCAACCATTTAACCCTGCCTGATGGGCCAATCAGCATCATTTGACTTTGCTGTTAGGAACTGTGTGAATTAAATATGCAGAGACATTTAAAAAAACACATTTAACTTATTTGTTTAATATTATTATTCTGTATTCTCTCAAACTACCTGTGTTGTGATTTTTGGTATTCACAGAGGACTCGTAATAATTGCAGGCTGTTTTCCATTTACTCCTTGTTTTTTATTCCATTACTCAATTTTAGTAAGAATTCCCGTTCACGAATAACCTTAATGTCCCAAAGTGTATTAGCTGTACAAACCCATTTCCAAAAAGGTTGGGATGCTGTGTAAAAAATAAAGACAGAATCCAATCATATAAGCGCATATTTAATTGAAAACAGAACAAAGATAACACATCAAATGTTGAAACTGTGAAATAGTATTGTTTTATGAGAAATATATGTTCAATTTGGATTTGGATAGGGGCATATTTATCGCTGTGTGGCATCAAAATTTCCCTGGGGGGCTCTTTTTATACCCAATCATCTTTCTGAGCTGTTGCCAATTAACCTAATTAGTTATACGATATTCAGTCAGGTGTTTTGTTTTATCATTATGCAACTTTTCCAGACTTTGATTGACTGGGTCCCAACAAGGCTGAAAATAATTTGACATTGGGAACATTATTTAATTGATGATCCTGTACTTTCCTCCTCCAAATAACAGTGCAGCCCATGGCATAATTGTTATTCTTTGGTAGTAGTTTCTTTATCAGTTATCAGGTCTCTTGTATTATGATCTGCTATGATATTAGACTGAAATCCTCTTTGCACACATGCAGGGTAGTTTGCTGGCTAATGGATGATTCTGCCAGAGGATACTGCATCCAGCCCAGACTTACACAAGGGCTGACCGGGGCTGTAGCTGTAGGGGGCCCCAAATTATTTTTCTGGTTGCTACAGCAGCACTTTATGCTGCAGGTTTGCCCCCACAATGACTTTAACCCAGGGTCCCCACCCCCCTAAATTTGGCCCCGGTGCCCAGTAATGGTGTCTGGACTAGGAGTTTGGTTTTAAAAGGGGACACTGTAGGTGCAAACCAGCAAGAGGTGAAAAGTAGGGACACATCAAGCAGAATTGCTGAGGCTTCAGGGTCTCTGTTTTCCATAAGAATAAAAACTCCTCAAGCGGAAAGTTCACCTCACTGCCAACAGCCGTGTCACTGCTCATGACAAAGGAGTGACTCATTAATCATCGTCTTGCGGATCAGCTTCAGTGGGTCAGGGGAAAGTTGTTCTTATTTCGACACTGATCACATATTCACAGATCAGCGCCTACCAAATCAGTGGTCACAGGAAATGCAAATCTACTCCATTTAAATCTCTGCCATTTTCTTTATTTCAGATGTTTTGAAATACAGAATGATTTCTCTTTTCAATTACTTGAAAATTACCAACCAACATTTCAAAATGAAAACTACTGTAAACTGCATGTATGAGTTTATTTAGGGACATTATTATTATTATTATAATAATGTCATAAAATTGTAAAAGCAAATGCAGTAGGAATATATAGAAACACTGTTCTAAATAATAAATGACATAAAGTTAAACATAAATGGTTTTGAAAACACATTAGGAAAAATGCACTAAATGGATTTTGCTGCACATGAGCAGCTGTGATGTGTTCAGCTGAGTCTGTAACCACTGAGAGTTTGAACAGCCTCATTATGTTACGCTCCAGGTCAGTGAGGTAGGAGAAATTAACATTGTAGTCTGCTCACAGACAGACAGACAGACAGACAGACAGACAGACCGACAGACAGACAGACAGACAGACAGACAGACAGACAGACAGACAGACAGACAGAATGAGACAGTAGTTAGTGACGAGGGATAAAATTGTATTTCACTCCTTGTTTCAATGAATTGCTCCCAAGGTGAACCTTCAAAGGCGATCACTTAACAAGGGTAAGGCAGAAGGTTAGCTTCCTGTTACCTGTATAATGGAGTCCAGCCGGTTGTGAAAGTTCAGGCTTTGTATTTCTCCTCACAATGAGAGCCTGGATTAGGCAGGGGCATACTGGCAGAAAACAATGGGACCAATTGTACCTTTCAGGGCACAATTACTTGTGACTGAGGCTGTACGTCAAGGGTCTGTCAATTTTACCCTGTCCGTAGGTTAATGTACCTTTTAAGGTACAGATATGGACTCTGAGGAACATTTTAGTACCATTTGGGGTATATTAATTTTGTTTGTACCTTAAGGAACAGTACTGTAGCAGAAGTGTCCCTGATGGTGCAGACAGTTTCAGGGCTTAGCTACCCAGGAATGGACACACCGACACTTCAGAGAGCAGCCTGAGAATGTTCAGAGACAATGACAATCCAATAGAACATTTTGAAAAATCAAGACATGTGGAATAGCTGGTCAGGACAGAATTTCCCAACACCATTACTGTCAATTTCTCTCTGTCGACTACATGGACAGGCATGATGAATCAGTGGACAGCACTGAGCCCTGCAAGATCATGGGTTCAGTTAGTTCAGGTACATTCTCCCTGTCTTTGTGTTGGTATTCGGGCTGGGAAACTCCTTTTAAAAAGGCATTCGAATTTTTATAATGTAACAGACTCTTCATTCGAAGATATTAATTATACAATTATACTACAAACCCAGCCTGTGATTGCATAGTAGCCTTCTGTGTGCAACCTACCCTGCAAGGTAAAACCTGCAATGCTAGTCTGCTCGTGTAAGTGGTGAAAATGACGAGGACACAATAATGTATTATAACATGTCTCATTTATTTAGCTACCCATAGGACAGAAACACGAGCAACAACAGAAGAAGTTGTCTATATTCTGGCGTGAAATTAAACTGTCAAACGATTCACATTAGAACGCTGGCATAGATTTTTGTGCATAAAATACCTTAAAAAAACATTAAACCATCAATGCTGTCTTCATTTTAGGCTATGTCTAGCTATCCCTGGGCAGTATAAAAAATTTTGTACCATCATACTGTCCATGTATTATACTGTGGTATATGCCATATGGTATTTTGATGATATTTTCCAAAACAATGCTATTTATTTACTGAACGGGAAGGAGGTCCCCACAATAAAAACTACTGCCAAAATCCAAGCAGTTTCCAGATTGCACTTTTCAGGTATTCGGAAGTTACTGTACACTCTTCTTCTGATTCTCATTTTATTTCACTAGTTTCCTTACTGACTTGTTTCAGCCATTTTGGCTAGCTCAATTAATTTACAGAAGTCTGCCCCTAGTGGTAGATCTTATATTCTACGTTAAGCAACAAGGGTCTTTAGACAAAGCAAAAATGAGGAAGCGTGAATTTGATAACTTAATGGTAGCCTACATAAATCTTAAAACATGTAAACGTGGATTTATGCTGTCAAAAATGTAAATAATTTTAAATGCAAATTGTACTTGAATAATTAAGTTCAGCCTCCCAGTAGGTATTCTCTGGATATTACAAAGACATGCAGTTTAAATGGCATGGCATGTATAAATCGCTATTCTTATCAGCCTGTGATAGACCAGCATCCTGCGAATGGGGTCTCAGACCTGCAGGGGTAGGATCATGTACTGGGTAAATGTTTATGGAGAATGGATGGATGGACGGATGGATGGATAAAGGATCTGTAGCAACCATAATCATATGTGTATACAGTATATATATTTACATACATACACATGCATATATATTATATTATATTATATATATGATTATGGTGCATGTGTGTAGAAGGCATAACACACAGATACATTTACATTTACTGCCTTTGGCAGACGCCCTTAGCCAGAGCGACTTACATAAGTGCTCAGATACAGGTCAGGAGCTTCAGTTCATCATCACACTAAACACTAAAATGGGGGAGAAAAGTGATTTAAGTGACTTTGAACGTTGCAGGAGTGTTGATGCCAGACAGTCTGGTATGAGTATTTCAGAAACTACTGATCTACTGGGATTTTCACACACAATCATCTCTACGGTTTACAGAGAATGGATCAAAAAATAAAAAAACATCCAGGGACCAGCCGCTCTCTGGGAGAAAATACGTTGCTGAAGGTCAGAGAAGAATGGCCAGACTGGTTCAAGCTGGAAATATCTCAAAATAATTATTTAAATGCATCACTGGACTTCACTGTGGCTCCCCAGCAAACGTGCAGATAAATCACAGCTGGTTTCTGAAATCTTGCCGACACATATAATGTTGGTAAATTCCTACTCATACGCAATTAGTAGAACAGGAGGATTCTTCCGCCGGAATTGCCAAGGGGTTAAATGTCGGTGGACTAAAATCACTTCCCCTTTAATTAAAGATTGCCCCCTTCTCTGAAGCGCAGTCTCTGCATTACCGTGGTTTGTACCATCTCGGTGCTGTGACTATTGTGGTAGCTATATCACTCTATGCCCGGGACCGTACTGTGCATATGCACAGCGCGCCGGAAACATTATCACACATGCTTTAAAAAGCCAGTGAGAACCAGTGTGGTTGCAACATTATTCTCTGCAGAGGCATCTGTTTATATTTCGTAACTCTAAAATAATATTTGCATTTCACTTTCGTTGCTACGAGATAAGGATTTTTTTGTTTCTTTGGGCGTCTATAGTGTATTAATCTTAAATGCGACTTTTGCCAGAGATATAGTGGAGTGCATGCCTTCTTTAGCTGGGTGCCAGGGAATGCTGTCTCCACGACCCGCTGAAGTGTCTGTCTGACGTGATGCTTTTCGTGTTTTTCGCCGGTTCGCAGTAAGTCGAGTTAAGACGACTTTAAATTCGTATTGCTGGCCGCATTTAGGTCAGCGCCTTGAATGAATTGGGTTACAGCAGTAAAAGATGCTGTGCGAGGGCAGCTTGTCGAGGCGTGACTCGTTAGCAACGAGGGCACGATGATGTGCCAGTCATCTGCATCTCCGAGTGCGTCGTGTGTTCAGGACCCCATACAATGAGCAGTTTACGAAGACTAGTGCATCTGGTGCTTTTCTGCCCCTTGTCCAAAGGCGTACAGGTAAGGACCTTTATATTTCCTCCGAATGTACTCCTTATGTCTATCGTTTTCACATAACTACAACACACCAAGCTATTAGTCATTTAATGTAGTTTAAAAAAAACATTAAATAGCATTGTAACTGCGGATTTTTATGATGACAGACGAAAGTCTGTCACCTTGAGTTTACCCATCTAAACAGATTGGTTTGAGTTGTTCTTTTATCTCTACAGATATGAAATCCCACATAATGAATTAAGTTGTCGTGACTCACTTCACTGTTGCGTCCTTTGCATATGGCAAAATGAATATAATATAACATTTAAATCTATAAACAATAAAATAAGATTTTACTCAGTTGACCCACTGTAAGCTCAGCTATTCCACGGGCACTCATTGTTGGCACTAAACAGAACAGTACGTGCAGCAGAGATGTCTTTTGATCTGTTCTAGTGTCCGATCCTTATGATCAAGGTGCAAGCTGGCAATCTGGATTGCAGTTTTATGGTTTTTGGTAACTGTGATGTTTGAATCACATCAGAAGTTTCAACTCATGTTTGATGCTATACCATGTGCAATGTGAGGAGCCTCATTTTAATGATTTTGTGGTGCTGTTTGGTTAATTTGAATGCCATATTTGAATATGTTTTGCACATGAGCAATTTCATTGTTCATTCTACTTTGATCATGCTAGTTCTAGCAGACAGAATCAGATGCAGTCATCTTTTTTTTATGTGTATCATATTTATTAGGAATGATCTTTGTCCCTGCTTGAAAGGAACCCCGTTTCTAAGCTTTGACAATGTCAACGTTCAGGAAAATCTTTTACCTTCGGAGTTTCAATTTAAAGTTTGAAAAATAACACACATGCACATCAGAACCATCAAGTTTTTGTTTACATTAAAGTAGGGCTGCCAAAACCAGCACGTTAATCCCTGCAATTAGTCAAAAATCCTTAATGTGTTAAACATAATGCAGTTTAATAATAATACATGCTTTATTGATCCCCGTGGTGAAGTTGTCTTTATGCCTCCCTCAACTTGCTCTTTGTAGAGTAAGTTGTCTGCAACGGGCAGCCACCCGTAGCGGCGCCCAGGGAGCTGGGGGTTAAGGGCCTTGCTCAAGGACTTGCAGATGTGCTGAAGCTGTGTTTAAACCGGCGACCTTCTGATTACAGGCACACAGGCTTAGCCCACTGAGCCAATCTTTTGTCCATCAATTGCACATCTTTTTTCCTTCCACAAATACAATGTATGCAGGCATGCATAACTGATAACCTTAAAGTCATGTTTGTGATAAAAATGGGCAAGCAGAAACCTACTTACCTTGATTCAATGGATGCAATATCTTGCCTTAAATGGATCTTTGGATAAAGTTGACTGTAGTTACTAAAGTGATGAACTGTCTTATCACTGCAGCACCACAAGCTTCAGATAACACTGAATGCAAAGCACACATTTGCTACTGATGTCAGCCTGAAGACTGGTCAAACTGGAAAATCCATACTTGAGGAAGACAAGCGAGGAGGATCCATCCGTAAAGCGACTTCGGCTAATGTAACAAATGCCATCACTAATTGGAGAGTAGTAGACTGGTGTCCTATTAACATTGTTGAAGATGGGGAACTCAAATGATTCACATGGCCAGCAAAGACCCATCAACGAACTCTCTGCCGTTAAGATGTACAGAATCAATGACTTGTACAGTGTTGAAAAGACATAAAGCTGAACAGTTAGCACAAGAATCCGCTGTTGCATTGACTGGAGGTCCCTGGACATTAATAAGCAAACACAGCTACCGGAGTCTAAGGGCTCGATTTCATCAACACTAGAACATTCACTAGAACATCATGCATCGCATAGAAAGCAATGTTTGATGTTCCCACTGGTGCACTGTGTTGCAGGTGCATTTTGAAAACACACTGCTGCACGCATTTCTCTGTGCTGCTTTATAAATCCCCCAACTGATGTCAACAAGCTTGGATGCCTCAGCAACGGGCTAACTGAAAAGTAGCCTTGGTGTGCTGGGTATGACTCAGTAATATGCAACAGGCCCCAAACATGTACAAGCAATGGCTTGAAAGGGAACAGTTTGATTATCCTCATGTTATTTTTCATATTAGAACTGTGCATGTGTTCATATGGTGTAACTGCTTCCAGTCGCAATCGAGAAGCTGGGGATGTACTCAGCAAAGGTCTGCTTCTGTCGACGCCATTTAAGAGAATCACATCAGCCTCTGACATTTTTCAGCTTGTGTTAATGTTTTACTTAAAGTAGCATTTATTAAATGTGCAGTTGATCATGAGTATAAATGCGAATCGATCAGCAGGAGAACTTTACAGTGACATTAAGCACCAAATGGTTGTATCTGCTTCTTGAAGACATTTGAGCTTTGGGTAAGGATTATAAGAAACATGAGGCCATGCTTTATAAATCCCCCAACTGACGGTTTCCAAATCCATATAGAAATTTCTATTTTTACCTCATGTGTTTTTTCTTAGTGATATCCACAGGAGTTCAGTAGTACTGTACCTGGTCCAATTACTATCTGAGATCCTGAGACAGATGATACTGAATTTACTGTAATGCTGATATTCATCATAATCATGTACTCTTATGGGTCTTAATGTAAATATGTGCTAATAAGATAACAGGTCAGAAATATGCCTGATAAAAAGTTTTATATGTTTTATGGGATCAGCACCCGTTGATATTATTCTGAGTAGATATTGTCTACTTCTAGTGTTTTATATACATCTTTGGCCTACCATTACTACTATCAGTACAGTGGCTGCTTATAAATGTTCACTTTCTTCAAAATTAATTACAAGAAAGGTCATGGGACTGTGATTTCTTCAGGATCACATTACGCAGTGCTAGCCGGGAGTCAGGTATCACAAGGTTACCTCTGGGTGGGAAAATGAATGGCTTGTATCAGAGTGTTGGGATCAGTCCACGCTGTCCTGTTTGTCGTTTTCCTGTTTTTTGCCGTCATGTGCCATTTCCTAGAGTCTTTAGTGTTTGTAAATTGTTTACGACCCTCACCTATTCCTTACTGTGCCTTTAATTAATTGTAATGGTTCCCACCTGTACCTGCTTTAGCCCATGTTCTTTATCAAAGTTTTCACACCTCTGAGACTAGGGTTCGAGTCTCCCCCATGGCCCCATGTGCGTGGAATTTGCATGTGTTCACCATGTCGTCATGGGGTTTCCTCTGGGTTCTCCGGTTTCCCCCCACAGTGCCAAAACATGCTGAGGTTAATTTGAGTTACCAAACTGCCCGTAGGTATGCATGTGTACAGTGAATTGTACAGTGAATTGTACAGTGAATGGTAAGGGTGCCCAGTGATGGGTTGGTGCCCATAGACTCTTGATGCTAAACAGGACAAGCGGTTACAGAAAAATACATGGATGGGCTTCTGAAATATTTGAACTGGATATACAGTCTTATCAGCTGCTAATCAGCTCTATTGAGGATGTCTCAGCATGTAACCCAGAGGAGCATCCCAGCTTCTGCATTACTAAATGTACAGGATATTTCATCAGTTTCACCTTAAGCTCAGAGCTGATATGGAGCCACACAAATAAAGAACATATCCATATGAAAACCTTAGCCTGCACCCCACTTTAATGCTGATTGTGAGCTGAACCGCTGGGCAGAGGACAGCACACCTCCTTTGCATCTAATCACATGAAGTAGCTTCCACAAACATTCTCTATATTATTTCACAGTATGATAATATGAGCAATAAAAATAATATCTGTCCTTTTTTTGAAATGTGCTTATCCAAGTAGCACTGCTGATAAATGAAATTTGAGAATGGTGTGTGATATTAGATTATTAAAATATAAATAATAAACATAAATAAATCCTATATTTGCATAAGTACAGGTACACTGGAATGCTTTTCTTCGCCAAACCCATCTTGCTCTCCATAGCTTGGGGGTCACAGCACAGGGTCAGCTAACATGCAGCGCCCCTGGAGCTGGGGGTCAGGGCTTGGCTTGAGGGCCCATGGACATGTAACTGTTCTGCCAGGGCGGGGCTCGAACCTGCGGTCTAACTATCACAGGCACAGAGACTTTACTTTGCTAAGAAACAATGGAAAATTTTTACTCCCATACTTTGGCAAGGGCAGAAGTGTATATTTTGTATTGTGTTTTAATCAAACTCAACCAGCGTTTTTTCTCTCACGATGCCTCTGTAGCTCAATCTGAACTCTGGCCTCCTGCGTTTTGACTATCCTCTGCAGGGTCGTCTCCCAGTCAAGGTGAAGTACCTGTTCCTGGCCTGGCTGGCCATCCTGGTGGGCAGCTGGGTGGTCTACATGCACTACTCCACTTACTCCGAGCTCTGCCGTGGACACATCTGCCACGCGGTCATCGTGAGTGTCCGCCATCTCCCGCTGCTTTTCCTCATGCTGCCCAAGTTGCAAAGCAACATGTGGCCTTAATGGCTGTTTCCAAAAGAACTAAGGTGTGCGTGTTACATAAATACAGGACTTCAGAGGTAATGCAGCCATTTCTGCTATAATGTGGCAGATTCCTGCAAAGCCACATTATACAAAACGCACAACTAATGAATGTTACATTTATGTAGTGTGGAGCCCCTGAAGTGACCTGTGCTAAAAATAGAATGCTCTTACTTTCGCGTGAAAACAAGTCGCACGAATGCTAAAGTAAGAGCATTTTATTTTTTTGCACAGATCCCTTCAGAGGCTCCATAATGCAACGCTTTTCACACACACAAAGAGTGACTGGGTCCATGCAAAACTTAATCAAACCATTATGTTTAAAACCCTTTATTAGGTAATGTTAAAAAATCTTTTACATCCTGTACCTGAAAATGACATTTTCTTGTAACCTTGTTCACTCTTACTTAGAGAAATGGAGTAGAATTTGTGAATGAATGCAGGTGTGTATCTCTCCCTCTCAGATGATAAAATATGTATCTAGATACATGGTCCATGATGAAATGACGTAAAGCAAACTTTGGGGAAACGGGGGATACCTGTAATAATTCACTGTATATTTCACTGCAAAAACATCTGAGATTCAAGGTCAGCGATATTAATGGTAAGATCTTAACCAGCCAGATGATCTCAGCAAACCATGACTGCACTCCTGCATTGTCCTGGTCCACCCTGTATTTGCAGCAACCATCCAGTACACCTGTGTATTCTTTAACTTTAACCCTCGTATAGCTAATCAATATCTCATTGACTTTTTGACTTTTTAAAATTAAGTTTGAGCTGGTGGTGAAATTTAATAATCCCATGGAATGGTTGGCGTGCCCCCTGAGGAGAGCTTCGGGACCTGAAGCAGTGTGCATCTAACCATCCAACTACATTTCAGTAACTTTTTGTAGAACATAAGCATTTCTTACTAGTTTTTATTGTTACTCTTAATTTGCATATATTCTAATACTAAGCTTTTTTTTTTGTTCCAAGCAGAAGTGCACTTACTACCCAGATAAACAGCTTTAAGCATTTCTTTTGACTGCCCGAGACCTTTGCACAGTACTGTAGATAATAGCATCTCTCATAAAACCTACCAGCTGCACATATTGTAAGTTGACATTCATTATATTATATTTAGAACAATTATTTGATTTGGTTTATTACTTTCACCACATTTGCCTCAATTTATCTATGCATAAGACTAATCTATTAAAATACACCATACTCAGTAAAATCAGTTGTGAATGGGATCAGCTCAAGTTTCATTTTCAAATTTTATTGTCACGTGTGTTCTGAGGAGTACAGCAAAATTGTTCTAGCATTCAGGTTACCCTACATTAATGTTATGGATTAGGATGGAATCGGATGGAGAGGAAGACAGGCCTTAAAACTCCACCTAAGATATGGGTGCAGGAAACAGGACGGCTATGTCTGTTCATTAGACCTCCAGCTATGACAATGCATTTGTCAGCTGGAAATAAAATCCTCAGAGGATGGTTATTTTTGTCTTTTTTTTTGTAGTAGGACAGCTGCAGAACATGGCTTTCATATACTCAGGCTAATGCTACAAGATATCACTAAAGTAAAACAATACTTACAGTCAATGTGGAAAAAGAGATCTTACTTCATAGTAATGATATAATATATAATAATTTAATAATGTATTGTGCTAAAGGAAAAAAGTTCTGAAATATATTCTGTTCTCCATGGGGTCTAGTTAAAAATAGTATGTTGTACATTCATGCTGAAACTGTGTAATTTTTGGCTGATACTTCATACATTTTAGGTTAATAAGATTAATTATTAAATCTGGTAGACTGTACTCAGATAAGCTATACTGTGGAAAGGTACTGCACAGTGGCTGCAGCCTCACAGCTTTAGATGTGGGGCTTTGAATGCTTTGACTATGTGCAATTTGCCTGCTATCCCAGTGTTTCTTCAGACACTTTAATTTGCATTCAGTGTGTCAGTGTGGCCCAATCAATAATCAATAATGCATAATCAATAATGCATCTGACATCAGGGTTAAATAGAAGGCATACATTTTCTGCACTGGGCTGGTTCCCAGATTGATTGATACCTCATTGTTATTCAGCCTGTGTTCTGGACTGGTGGCTCTGTACATTGAAAGGCACACACTGGATTTTTATGGAATATGACCACATTACTGAGTTTTTTGTGGCGTCCAAATAACTGTAGGGTGTATACCCAGAGCCTAATAAATTCTTCTATTCTAAATGACTTTTTCTGTTTTCTAAAATGCCATAGGTACCAGACATACTTTTCCTTGTGTGTTTTGGGTGTGCTGTTCTCATATAACACGGCATTCCCTCCAGCGTGATCTCCTGCCCTGTGCCCTATACTGCCTGGAATGGGTTCCCAGCCCCAGTGACCCAGATCAGCATGAATGACGGGAACATGGGTAGCTATTGTAATACACAGTGTACTCACAACCAGCTCCTGAATGGGGGAGGACGCTTATTTAATTGGGTTTAAATGATAGTCATTACGCTCTTCATTACCCAGTGTACAGTTTTGTTGTAGATATAAAATGACAATAAAGATATTCTGTTGTACATGGTTTAATTGAATACATTGAAAAACTAGATTTGGGGGTTTCCCAGAACTAATCCCATTTATAATGCTTTTAGGTTTTGGGCTTCTTACTGAGGATATTGGGGTTGATCTGGCTCTGCTTCCTTTGTTCATTCTCTTTGCTCCAGTGTGATCATTACAAGAGGGGCATTATCTCTGGATCATCCTGCAAGCCTCTGTGTGAAAAGCGCACTCTGAAACTGCAGCACTGCTTGTCCTCCTCGCCTACTCATCAGGTATCCCATGGAAGCACTGCTTTAATCACAGGCTTTACAAAATGCCTCATAGACATTTAAAAGTAAAAATAATTAAAATAGGCATACTAGAAATAACAATAAGCACAGAAAGATGTAATAATAATAATAATAATAATAATAATAATAATAAATAAGACACAGGACATTAACCACCCACATTCTTGGTAGGGAACTTTACCCCCTACCACACCAGGAACTCTAGTCCCTATCTGATAGGGGACTTTACCCCCTACCACACAAGGAACTCTAGTCCCTATCTGATAGGGAACTCTAGTCCCTATCTGATAGGGGACTTTACCCCCTACCACACAAGGAACTCTAGTCCCTATCTGATAGGGGACTTTACCCTATCTGATAGGGGACTTTACCCCCTACCACACAAGGAA